TCCGAATCGGCCAGATCACTGGGTCATCGACTAACGGAGCCTGGGCCACTACGGACTGGGTGCCCGTCTTCGTCAAATCCAGCATTGCGCTCGGTAACTTCCCCTCTGACCCCTCCGGCGTCGTCGCCTGGCTTCCCCCCGAGGCCATTGCGCAGGCGATCATTGACGTCGGAGTACTGGGCGCAGGAAAACCGCCGTTTGCGATCAACCTGGTTCATCCGCGGCCGATTGCGTGGGACGAAGTCATATCGAGCATGGCCGGGACTGCGCACCTCCCACTGGTACCGTTCGCTGAGTGGGTTCAACAGCTTCAGGACCGCTCCCTTGGGTCGACGGCGAAGGATATTGAGGATATCGTGAGGATTTATTCATCCGACCGCCGATTGCCTACCCCTTCTGATTATAATTTCACCCAGCCTGCGATCAAGCTGCTCGCGTTTTTCAAGACGATGGTGGGCGGTGCGGCGAACGTCGAGTTTTCTACCACGAAAGCACGCGCGACGAGCGAGAGCATGAGATTGTTGAAGCCGCTGAGCGAGGAGGATGTGCAGCGCTGGATGCAATACTGGCGCAAGAAGCTGTTTCTTCAGTGATTTGTATGTGTAAATGTCTTCTTCGTAATGAGATTCAAATTTGTGACAAAAGACAACCCTTTCCTTCAGTTGGATGTTGTTATTCAAGCCTTCATACCAAGTATTCGATGAGCCACATGACAAATGCGTCTTGTTAAATTTACACGTTCAACCTAGAAGAAAGATATCCGCATCAGTGCAAGAGGCACAGCCACACGTAGGAAATGCTTTGACCGGCCAAAATAGGCAATTGGCCATATAATATACGCAAGCTTCCAACGTCTGGCTATCTCAATTCATTTTCTGTCTGAGTACTATTGACCAAGTAATGTCGCGAGAAGTATTTTCATGAGATTTATAACTCCAATGTAGAATTATCGGTTATTTGTGCTACGGCAAATTTGGAGACTTCGTTTACTCTTCGCGCTTTGGCTCCATTGGCCTGTTGTGCCGATTTTTTCTAGTGCTCAAGTCCTCCCTTATGGAAACTCTAAAATTTGAGCCCGCTGCATGCTTGAGTTAAGTGCGCGCCTGAGTCACCAATTCACAATTTGACGCCTATGGCGTGCCACGGTGCCCCTGGCAAGCCTCATATTGGCCGACCTGTGGCACTGCAGTCCCACTAAACGAAATCCTCTTTCAGCACCACAGGGGTCTTCACAAGTCTAATGCCTGACTCAGACCAGTATGTACTCCTCACTGAGCCCAACAACTTCAGAAGGGCAAACTTTCCTGAAACTTCCATGCAACTGTGTTCGTCGACTTCCATGTTAGCCCGCGGCCAGACTGCTACCCAGGTTCTCTTCCACATTCTTCCAAGTTGGATCAGGAGATTATTGAAACTTCCGTCCGGACCTGTTCGGTACGATCGAGCCCATTGCAAATGATATTACGACCACTATGGACTGAACTAAATGAGTTCGGTGACAGCGACTGAGCGAGTTTTCCAGACCCTAGATTTTCTTGCACCGGCGTTCGCCGGATATTGCCTTTTCCGTGATCGCCGATCAGTCTCAATGTCGTGAACCACTTATGATACGTGGTATGAATTCGCTGCCAGTGGGCATTCCCGGTTACAGCGTAACATGCCATGAGTTCCGTGAATGGCTATACTCTTTTAGGCCGTATATTCCCGCAGCCCTAACGAATTACCGATCGCTTCCGCTGGTCTCAGTCTCCGTCCTCACATAAAGGAGGGGCAAGACAAAAATGTATCCACACCCCATGTTCTCCCTACGCGCAACTCTGGAAGTATCTGAAGCTAAACCTTACCTCGGTGGATGGGTCCGTTCCTTGGAAAGCTTGGATTTGCGAGACACTAACCGCTAGCTCCAGGATCTCGCAATATGTGCAGGCTTGGTGCTGCAGGGCGTACTCTACGCACAATTTGCGCACTATACGAGCTTCAACAACGGGGACTCCGTGCGGATTAAGCTATTTGTCGCGTTTCTCGCGTTGTTGACAACGCTGAGGGCCATCCAATATGTGTTCGTTCACTCTTCTTTTCTTCATCTTTAACCAGTTTACCTTGGATCGCAGAACAGTGATGTGGGTGCAGAATGTCACGATGCTCGACAACATTGAGGGGGCCGTTCATTCAGTGATGACGTTTTGGGTCTCGAACACGATGACCCTGACGGCGGCCTTCATTTCTTACTACGTGCAAATGTTTCTATGCCATCGACTTTGGGTGAGTGTCTTGTGTTCTGCTAATTACTCTCCCCAATAATTTATACTCCCGCAGGTGATATCACACAATAAATATGTTGTGGCCGTCTCGCTGGTTTTTTTCGTTGCTGCGTTGGTCTCAGCGATAATTTCGGTACGTCTCCTCCAGATGTTTTTTTGATTTGGGAAATTCACGTTATCGCATAGGCTTGCCTCGAGTTTAGCTCATCCTGGACAGCCTTCATCGACATGAGTGTGTTGCATGCATCTCGCCATGGCGAAAGTCAGCTCATTACTATACAGTTGCCGCCTATATCGGGCTCACATTGAGCGGAGACCTAATGCTGACGGGAAGCACAACATTTTTCTTACTGGTGCGTAATAAATTGCTGCACTTTACAACCGCCTATTCGCACCCCTTCCATACTTAGAGGCATTACAAAAATGTCATTCCGCGCGGCCCCACCGCAAGTATGCTCAATTCTCTGCTCCGGATAACAATTCAGGTCAGTAACGGTCCGTCTGCGCCTCGTCGAACCGCCTGACCACCACTAGTCCGCAACCCCAGCAGCCGTCTGCGCATGTATCAACTTCACGGTCGTCTTGATGGCGAGCCAAGGCGACATCACCAGCGCCCCGCTGGTGCTTTCATGCATCACCAACACGGTACTCCCGCAGCTATATGCCATCTCCGCTATGTGGATTCTGAATTCGCGTGAAAACATGCGCGCCAAGGCTGAGGCGCAGGATGGGCCTGCGTTGGAGACGATTGATCCCAAGTCGCGGAGCGCGGCTTCTCAGCTTGAGTCTGCACGTGCGAGGCAGAGCGAGACGCTCGACTCACAGGAAACGCTCTGAAAGCGGGAAAGCGGTCGACGGTGAGGTTCCGAGGAAAGTACCACGGTTACCACCACCTGTAGATGTATGATAATTCCTTGTAGTCCAAAAATGCTACTCTTATCACAATAATACTGAATACAAAATTTGAAGTGATAAATACAGTAGTCTTGTAAACGCCTTCCTACTCTTTACGACGAAGATATGAGTTGGTAACGGCTCTGGCCAGAGTAAAGTGCCCGGAGGGCCTTGATGATGTATTTATCTTATCTTATCTACCAAGCTGACGTTTCGTTCGAAGCGATGGCCCTCCTGGAAAATAAGATTGATCTTGAAAATTGCCGCAAGTTTCGTCCGGCCTCGTTCCTCGGCTGACTCCCCTTCGCCGGAGAGCGTATTGGCTCTGTGAACATTAATGAACTCCGGCGATCTCGGGGATGTTGAAGTTCAATATTGGTGAGTGTTTAGAGAGTAAGGTCATATATGCGAGCAGTATAAAAGCGCCGTTCTGTGTTTGCAGTTAAAACCAATGAAAACTCACGGACACCGAGAAATCTGGCCGATCAATGGGCAAAACAGTTCCCACGGTTCAACAAATTGAATTACACTAGGGGCAAAGACCCACGCAGATGAATGCCATGTGCGATAAGCGCACATCCGTTGCACATGGCTTTCATGATGCTGTGCACAAAGAAAAAAAGACAAAGCACCTTGTTTTTTTTCTTTGTGCACCACACGTCCGGCACATCTGCGTGTAAGGACTCGTATTTACTCTTTTGGTACTCTTTAGCTACAAGTTGTGTCATTTGGCTTACAATTGATTATCATCACTCTTATCACAAACTGTCATCGTTGCAACAGCCTAAACAGCCTTTCCACGTTCTCGTCGATCTACTCCGACCTGATAGAGGCAGCGGGCTTTAACTATGACATAACGACTCTTTACGACTCTACGATTAGCCTCATAGGACGATTCTACGTCTAGCATCGTAGAACGACATCTCACGCTTACGACCACTTCTGACTCTACTCTATCAGAATATCCGGTAGAGTCAGTGCTCGGATATACTGGAGTTGAGAATATCTCACTCTATTCTGAGAACTTCAAGAGTTCGGACTGTGGAATCCAAGGTCATAACCACAAGTGTTCGGCATATCGCCCGCCAGGGCAAGCTTACGATGTTTACCCTTCGTGAGTGCTCTTGAAGCCTTACGCTACGACGGATGTGCGTTTATCGCACATGATTTCTATGTGCCTGGGTCGTTGCCCATCGTGGTCACGCGTCACGGAGGCTGGTGTCGAATAAGTTCAGCGGTCCATCACACTGTCGAAAAATCGCGCAAAACAGCATAAAAAATTGCTGCGACTCCCGACCCTTGCTAAGTGTGATTTAAACCAATTTCTGGACCATTTTTAGCTGCAACTTTGAAATTTAAGGGCGCGGATGGGTTTTTGGCCTAAAATCACCCTAGCAAGTGCACACCATGTGCTATCAGGTGTTTTCATACCTGTTCCTTTGTTGGTAAGGTGCATGGACTGGTTCAGTCTTATGCTCAATTTTCAACCTAACTTCTTTTAATTTAGAAACAAAATGGACGAGACCAGCGCCAAATCACCCGACCCTGAATTGAAAGGGGAGCACCTACAGAGCAATTGCTGTACAAATCAAGAATTGTAGGCAAGCACACACCCACCATGTGCTCTCAGGTGTTCATGTACCTATTCCTTTGTCGGTAAAGTGGTGCTCAATTTGACTTTGTTCCGAGTGAAAAACCGGTGTTGAAAGGAAAGAAGCAAAAAAAAAAAAAGGATTGAAACATTGGACGGGTTGCCTAAGTATACCGTCAAAGGTTTGATGCCTGACTTTACCCTGGAATAAATCCTCCTGATTCAGAAAAAACAATGGTATCCCTGAAGACAAATCACCCGACCCCGAATCGAACGAGGGACTCTCGCATAACAATTCCTCTACGACCCCAAACAGTTAGCAAGTGCACACCATGTGCTATCAGGCGTTTTCATATTTGCTTTTTGGTTGGTAAGGTGACACTCAATTCAACTTTCCTCTGAGCAAACAAACAATCGGTGTTGAAACATTATTTCTGTTTTGAGAACTGAATGGGCTTTGTGGACAGTATAACATTGAAGGTGGTGGACTGGTTCAATCTGTGGCTAGAATGAAAACCTGTTGCGGGCAAAAAAGCCGATAGCGGACCAATTCAAGCCAAACCGCAAGCCAGGGCACACCATGTGCTATCGGGTGTTTTCATACCTGTTTTTTTTGTTGGTGATGTGATGCTCCACTTGACTGCATTTTGAGTGGATAGTCGGTGTTGAAAACATCTGTATGCCATTGAAGGTGGAGGGACTGGTAACTGTTTCAACCTTTGGCTAGAATAAAAACCTTGTTGACTTGGCTAAAAAACTGCCTGAGTAACGGAAAATCACCCGACCCCGAATCGAACGAGGACCTCTTGCATAATAATTCTGAACTCCTTCGGCTAACAGTGGGCAAGGGCACACATGTGCTATCGGGTGTTCATACACCTATTTTTTTGTTGGTAAGGTGATGCTCTCTACTCGGCTTCATTGTGAGTGGATAGGTGGTGTTGAACTAAAAAAAAGTTGACACATCACCTGGATAAGGTTGCTTCAAGTGTACCGTCAAAGGCTTGATGCCTGATTTCACTCTGGGATAAATCCTCCTGATTCAGAAAAAATGATGAACGGCAGGCCTATCACCCGACCCCGAATCGAACGAGGACCTCTCGCATAGCAATTCCTTTAGGACTCTGAACAGCAAGCAAGTGCACACCATGTGCTATTGAGTGTTTTCATACCTGTTTCTTTGGTGGTGAGGTGGAACCGAGACTTGCCTTTGTTCGGAGCGAACAATTGGCCTTGTTTGCAAGGAAAGGGGTTGATACATTGGCTGGCCTCCTCCAAGCATACTGTCGAAGGTGGATACACTGGTTCAACCTACACTTCACACTATAGCTGGAATAAAGATCCCATTCGCTCAGGCAAAAAGTTGACCACATTGACACACACATCACCCGACCCCGAATCGAACGAGGGACTCTTGCATAACAGCTTGCGTGGACGCAGAATGGTTAGCAGGGGCACACCATGTGCCATCAGGTGTTTTCATACCTATTTCCTTGGTCGGTAAGGTGATGCCCTACTCGGCTTCATTTGGTGTGGATAATTGGTGTTTTTAAGAAGCTCACTGGGCTTTGTTCAAGTGCCAATGCCATTGAAGGTGTCGATTTCAGCTTTAAACAAAATCCTGTTGAAAAAAAATGCCTCAATACACCATGTGAATCACCCGACCCCGAATCGAACGAGGACCTCCTGCCTCCCAATCTTACATACACACTCGCTAACAGTGAGCAAGCGCACACCATGTGCTATCGGGTGTTTTCATACCTGTTTTTTTTTGCTGGTACTTAAAGTGAGAATTGACTTTGTTTTGAGTGAATAGTTGGTGTTGAACTAAAGAAAAGTTCACTGGCTGTCCAAGGGTACCATCAAAGGTGGAGGGACTAGTTCAACCTGCCCTCTAATAATAATCCTCCCGGCTCAGGAGAATACTCGATTTCGGCCGCCGAATCACCCGACCTCGAATCGAACGAGGGTCTCTTGCATACCAATGTTGCCTTTTTCACGCATCACAGGTAGCAAGTACACACCATGTGCTATTGGGTGTTTGCATACCTATTTTCTTGGTCGGTGAGGTGATGCTTAGCTTGCCTGTATCAATTCATTCTCAGCGAACAATCGGTGTTGGAAGGTATTTCCTTTTTTGTCAAAAGAACCGCGCAAGTGTACTCTTGAGCATGTTGGCTTTAACATCAACATCAAATAAAATCCTGTTGAAAAAAAGAAAGCCTCGACGACGAATCACCCGACCCCGAATTGAACGAGGGACTCTCGCATACCAATTTTTCCAGGAAATCCTGAACAGGTAGCAAGTGCACACCATGTGCTATCGGGTGTCCACATACCTATTCCTTCGTTGGTGAAGTGTACTTAAATTGACTTTGTTCTGAGTCAATGATCGGTGTTGGAACATTATTGTTTAGTTGGAGAAACTGACTGGGCCTTGTGTACCGTCAAAGGTCAAGGGACTGATTTCATCTACACTTCACACTATGGCTGGAATAACAGTCCCGTTCACTCGGGCAAAAAGAAGATACATGACACCAGGCACATCACCTGACCCCGAATCGAACGAGGACCTCTCGCATATCAATGTTGTCTTTTTCACGCATCATACAGGTAGCAAGGGCACACCATGTGTTATCGGGCATTTTCATACCTGTTTATTCGTTGGTTAGGTAGTACTGAAACTCAACTTGATTCTGAGTGGATAGGTGGCGTGGGATCAAAAGAAAGAGTTGACACATTATTGGCTGGTCAGGGTTCCTCCAAACTGGCTGTCAAAGTGGATGTACTTGTTCGGTCTCATGGTCAATTCAAGTTTCAATCTAAATGAAATCCCGTTGAAAAAAACGGAGCTAGAGGCAATCCATCACCCGACCTCGAATCGAACGAGGACCTCTTGCATATCAATTCTTCGCTGCAGCCAGACAGCGAGCAAGAGCACACCACGTGCTATCGGGTGTTTTCATACCTGTTTTTTTGTTGGTAAGGTGATACTTCAGTTTACTTGAATAAAGATCACGTTCACTCAGGCAAAAAGTTGACCACATTGACACACACATCACCCGACCCCGAATCGAACGAGGGACTCTTGCATACCAATTCTCAAAGCAGTATAGGTAGCGTGGGCACACCATGTGCTATCGGGTGTTCCTATACCTATTTCCTTGGTCGGCAAAGTGATGCTCAATTTGACTTCATTCTGAGGCAACAAACTGGTGTTGGAAGTTGGAGCATTATTTTTGTTTTGAGAAACTGAATGGGCTTTGTTCAAGTGTACCATCGAAGGTGTCAACTCCAACATCAAATAAAATCCTGTTGACTCGCATAAAAGCTCAATGACCAATGAATCACCTGATCCCCAATCGAGCGAGGGACTCTTGCATACCAATTCCTACATCCTCCAGCTCACATGTGCAAGGGCACACCATGTGCCATCAGGTGTTTTCATACATCAGCAAAAGCACAAATCACGCGCGAACTTTTGATCTTGTGATGTCGCGTATCTCGCGTCCACGAGTATACGCGAGCACAAGCAAAGCTTGAGATTTTTGTGTACATTCTGTACTGGGTGTATCCTCACACTCAGCCCATTTGTGAGTGCCATCATACTGGCCTTTGTCCACTCAATAATTTCGACGACTTCAACTGTCCGGATTGGCCGGCATTTCAATCAGAATTGAGCTCGCGTCGCTCGCGTAGGCTCGCGTATGGGGCTCGCGTGGGATCTAGGACATAGCTCGTGATTGCGCGTGCGCGTGGACTTTGACGTCTTGTACGCGCTCGTGCGCGCGCGTACGAGAGCCCACGCGAACTCACGCGCAAAGTGTGAAAATCCCGATGTATCTGTTTCTTGGTCGGTAAGGTCAAACTCAATTCGACTTTGTTCAGAGTGAACAGTGTGGTGCTGAAAGAAGGAACAAAAGAAAAAGGATCAACACATTAGATGGCCAGGCTTTGGGCAAGGATACGTTTCAGGCCAAGATCCTCCTGACTTGGAAAAAAACAAATGCAAATATACACAATCACCACCACCCGACCCCGAATTGAACGAGGACCTCCTGCATGACATTCTTGTGATGATGACCAGCTAGCAAGTGCACACCATGTGCTATCGGGTGTTCCTATACCTGTTTCTTTGTTGGTGAAGTGTTACTTCATTTGACTTCATTCTGACTGGATAGATGGTGTTGGAAGTTGAAACATATTTTTGTTTTGAGAAACTGAATGGGCTTTGTTCAAGTGCACATGCTCATCATAGATGACCGTACACTAGATTTCCACCTGCCATAAAAATCCCATTGACCCAGGCAAAAGCTTAACGAGGCAAACACATCACCCAACCCCGAATTGAACGAGGGCCTCCTGCACAACAGATGTTCTATGAATCAATTACAGCTCGCAGGGGCACACCATGTGCTATCGGGTGTTCACATACCTATTCTTTTGTTGGTAAGATGATACTCCAGTTTACTAGAATAAAATCTCATTCACTGGGACAAAAAGTCCTGATAAATACACATCACCCGACCCCGAATCGAACGGGGACCTCTTGCATAATAATTCTGAAATCCTTCGGCTAACAGTGAGCAAGCACACACCATGTGCTATCGGGTGTTGATACACCTATTTCTTTGGTGGTAAGGTGATGCTCTACTCGACTTGATCAATTTCATTCTGAGTAAACAATCAGTGTTGAACTGAAAAATGTTGACACATTCTTGGCTGCCCAGAGTCCCTCCAAGCATACAGTCGAAGGTGGAGGGACTGGTTCAATCTGGTAGAATAAAGATCCCCTTCACTCGGCCCAAAAACTCTCTGACATTGATACATCACCCGACCCCGAATCGAACGAGGACCTCTTGCATACACCGCCAACTGGCCAGATCGTGGGAGCCAGGTGAAGCGGCCGCCTGAGAACCATCAATCAATTCGGCTGTCAGCATCCTCGCACCGACCTAGTGGCCAGCTGGCGGACCCAGCCTTTATCTCAGCTGTCCCCCAGCTTTCTAACTGCTGGTTTCCCGCTGTGTGGAAAGGTAGATACCCAGCATGTATTGTGGGTGGAAGACACGTAAAGGCGACCTGTTCGTGACCTGGCCAAACACATTCCATTAAGGTGCGTCGGCATCGGCCATTTACCTGAGCTCAGGTGGCACCATGCTGACTTTCAAGACTCTTTCTCCCAGAGATAACACACACAATAAATTACTTGCCCCCGATTGATAGAGCTACATAAACTACTCCGACATGTCTGGATCATTTTCCCGCGCAGCCTTCGCTCTCGCAGTGGGTTTGCGTGCTCTGCCCGACACGCGAGGAGGGGCACCTGGGGTCCCGGGTACCCTGCTCCCTCCGTAATCGGAATCACTTTCTTCCATATCATCGGGTTGAACCCGGCGACGCTTCTGCCTCTTCCGTGGGGGGGCTTCATCCTCGGTGTCGGTGGGTTCATCTTCACTGCTATCCGCGTCGCCCGCCGTCACCTGAACAGACCCCTCCGTTCCATCTGGTATCTGCCTGTCCCTGGTCTTCCCCTTTGCTGATTTCTTGGCTGTCCGTGTGTCTTCGGTGCTCTTCCGCTTTTCTTCAGCTTTCTCCAGACGCCGTTTCCGCTTACCGTTTTTGATTTCGCGGAGCCTTGCTGCCAGTTCATGATGTTTCGCTTCCCTTTCCGGGAACAAGAGGACCGGAGCAACCAGGGCTCGGGGAAGTACTTGGCGTAAGAGATGAGCATTGTGGAATGCATGTGTATTGATGATGAAGCGCTCGACGGGTTGGTGGACAATGAACTTCTCCATGACATTCGACTCGACCCGTTCTTGCATTCGAGGTCGTTCGCCTGTTGCCTCACACTCTGCGACATGGCAATCATGCTGAGTGTTGTAGAGGAATCTAATATCCTGGAAAGTCATCCTAAATCAACAAATGAATGAACCGTGATGTTGGAAAGAAATTCACCAAACTCGGAACAATTATGAAACTTGCCTCGCCCTGCCTTCTTGCGAGAACAGGCATACCAAAGACATCGTGGCGGGTCTCCAACACTTGGAAAACATCCAAGACAATAACCGCTGTACCCTGGCCATCGTCGAGAATTGTATCTATCCTCCCCGTTATAAGTTCACCCTGGGAACTTTAAATACTGAGAACATGAATAAGCAGAGGGGAACTCACGGTTATGGGCGATTTAACAAAGACCCACGAGTCTTTTTTGCACTCGTCAAGTGACGCCGCAATTACCGCTCGACACAGGAACCATCGGGATGATAAATCATACGCCCCGCTGTTCAGGGCTTGTGATGCATGTGTGGAGCCCAAAGAAATCGCACTCCGGATAGGTCTAGGAACTCCCTTCTTCCGCTTGGGTAGTGGCACAAGCTTGGTAGATCCTATCCAGAGATGAGAAAGGGCAGATATTGAACCGAAAATCAAACTTACCTGCAACGGCGGGAGTTTCAATAGTCCATCCCACAAGTTTTTGAAGCACTGGCCGAGTTGCGAGAAATCCTCGAACCCCGGCACCCGCACGTTCCCATTCGCCCTCGGAATTCGGCCACCACCCGCCCGTTAGTCGATGTTTCAGGCCCTCTTGATCTGCCAACTGAAGGGCGATATCTCGGCTCGGCGCGAGGTGGTTGGAAAGGATGGAACAAAAACGAAACACGGCATTGAATGCCTCGTATATCTCTGTTGCCACACCGACCAGTGGGCCAAACGCCACAATATCCTCCGGTGTATGAGGAAGAAGGTGAAGTTTTATCTTTGTTAGAATTTTGGTTGGGTCGACAACGGCGAAGGCATCCATTACATTCCCAGCCGCGATTTCAACATCTCGCTGAGACTTTGATGTGAGTTAACGTGTTCAGAGAGCGAGCGGATACTCACGATATATTCATCGAGGTTGCGGATTTCAGGTACCCACAGTAACGCTGCAAATTGGCCGACAGCTTGCCAAGTTGTGAATTGTTCGGGCGTAACCAGTCCATGGACATGGAAAATATTGACCTGCGCAATGGTCTTGAATTGCCGTCCAATGAGCGAGTTTGCATACTGCATGATGTACGGTGCGCGGATAGCGTGGATTGTCAGTCCATCGGTGTTTGTGGACTGTAATCGGACGGAGTAGGTTTGTTTCTGCTCCGCTGTCCACAGGATATGGGAGGAGTGCCAGATATATTTGACGACACCCAATAATATTGTGTGCAGGATTTCGACGGGCGTGTCTTTCGTCGGATCGAAGCCTTCAAAGTTTCCACTCAGTTTATTGTAAGCTGTTAAAGTAAGTTACGTACCGTCCACCGTTAGAAAGCCACTGTGTATTTTATCCTCGTTGTCCAAGGTCCATTGGATCAATTCTTCTTCAATTTCGAGGCTGCTTCGTTCCGGGTCCTCCTGTTTTTTCCGTTGAAATTCATCGAGGAGGTATTGAATCCAGTGCTGGGTGTATGTGTCTTTGATTCCGGTATCCCTTTGCGTGTTCTTGATTGGTTGAGCGACACCCGAGCACGCCGTCTTGACCTGATTCTTCAGTTCAGTCAGGATTTTCTCCTTGGATCGAGGTTCTCCGGGCTGTTATGGAGTTAAAAAAATAAGGATATGGAATAAGGAGACTGACGAAAAAAAGGGAATGAAAACATGCGTTCTCCTCCTTATCCTTGTCGGTTCCGCCGACCTTGCATTTCCGACAAAAGAAGTTCCCTTTTGGACCGATGTGTCCAGCTATTTCGCTCTGCATAGGATTATCGGACGGGCCAGCGTTTGCGTGGATGCAGACACATGTTGTCTCTTCTGTTTCTGCATCACGAACCCTGATTGGGTCCTTGTGCGTACCCCTGTGAATTTTGTTGGCTTAAGTTGGCGCTAAAGTTTTAATCCTGTTCGGACTCACTCCATAACTGACTTGAACGCGGTAAATTGCTCCGTAATACTGGCATGTGGCGATGTTGAGATGAAGTGGACATGGAATTCCTGTGCCAGTACTTGACGAGGAAGGTTACGATGTGTCAGATAAGCGTTCCAGTGCTTATTCCATGACTTCGAGCGGTTTCCCGAGACGTCGTCCCCAAAGTAATCAACAAAGCTGGTGTACATAGGATCACCGTTCGCGATAGCGCGTTTAGGATTCGGCATTCGGGCGGTGTGACCGCTGTCGCTAGTTTTTTCTACAGAGTTTCAGCCGCTTCATCAGAGATGGAAGTTAACCGACGTACTTGACCACTTGGGAAGAGATTTTTCGTCCTCCAAGTCAAGGTAATTGGCGGACAAGTCTCGTGCGGCAATCAAGACGGTTTGACCATCTGCCACAGTGGCTACCCCCTGTGAGAGTAATTTGTCAGAGGATAGCTACAAGTACGACCTTCACATACCGCATCATCGAGTTCGACCAAAAATGCATCGGCGCAGATACTGTCTCGAAACTTTAACCACCGAATCGGAATCACCAGTTGCCCAGTATTAAGTCGAGCCAGTTCGTTCACGTAGAAGTGCGCCGGGAGATGCTTTGCATCGTACATGGGACTGAGATGATCAAGGTCCATGGTTTTCCGCCATTTTTGGGCATGCCATATTTCTCGAATCACGCCGTCTTCCGGTATCTCGGGATAAACGTGAATCAATTTGCGTGTTTCTGGGTTTGCCCAATCCTGGGGAGACAGGTTTTCAAACAGATGCTTCAGAAGAGATAGGTGCATTACCTTGGCAATTAACGTCCGGGGATCATTCATGTAGAATACATTCCCCATCGCGGTTGTGTACTGTGTCGTTGGAATCCCGCATCTTTCCCGATTTTTTTTCTGCACTTTGCGAAGATGATCGAATGAGGGTACTCCCTGCGCACCCGACTCTTTCAAAATCCACAGGAAAACTTTCATCAGCGAGTTAGAGATCCGCAATCGGGGTAAGTTATCGAGCGTGTCCAGCAGGAAGAGCTTTGAAGAAATTTAGCATGATGGGAGGAAGCAGACTGATAAAACTAACCATCTTGGAGGGGTAGGGGGCCCATTCCGCGTTTCATTCATCTGGATCCTCGGTTCCGACGTCGAGGATGTCCTGACCGTCGTGGTCGGGATCATTGATTGCTGTCATGATGTCACGGGACCGTTCCTCCTTTGCTCAGACGACACGACGACACTCACCTGCATTCTGCATGATTTCTGCCAGAAAGTCCTCTTCGTCATCCTCCTGCAATATTACCTCTTCGTTCCCTTCTCCCAAAGAAAACTTGGAATTTTGCGCGAGGACTCCAGCATTCCAGATGCTGTTCATCTCGCCACACAAATCGTTATATTGCTGCGTCGCTTTGTCGGTTCCAAGATCAAATCCCGCGCTGTGAGGATCAGCATCTAGCTCCTCCCACAACTGGGTCTCTGCGGCAGTTTGAATGCGACGAGACTGCTGCTGCGCGGGAATCTGGACATCCCGGAGGCCAGAGAATTCCATCTCAGCTTCGCGTCGCCGTGCCAGATCGTCTTCTCTGTCTTGCTGGATCTGAGCTGCTCGTATAGTGGCTGCCGCATGGAATTCGACCGCTCGGCCATGCCCGCCCGACTTCAAATGCGCAGCGAGACTGGTGTACGCGATCCGTGTCTCCTTCCTAATCGGAGACAGTGCAGTACACAAAGTGCACAAGAGTTTTGCCCCTGCCTCGACGGGGACGAAACCATCTGGAACAGCCTTTTCCTTTGCTGCTGTTGGCATATTTCTTCGAACCTGGGTTTGGACTGAAGCAAGACTGAGGCGAAAAACAATGGGCGACAATTCCCGATTTGGAAATCGCCAGTGGCATTCGCTTAAAATCATATAAAGGCGATGTGCGGCCACCCTTCGTCTTGCCCTCCTACTCCCATCTCCTCCCTTCACTTCCTCACTCAATGCCGTCGGCTCTCAACAGTTTCCAAGAACGCCTGCTGGCTCGGACTGAGCGCGCACCTGGATCTCGGAAACGCGCTCGCACAACAAGCGATGCATCGGACTTTTCGGCACAGGTGGCACCCAGCAGCCCTCTCGCTGGTGTCTCCGTGTCTGTTCCTGCCACCCGCAACACGACCAACACCGTCCAAGGCTTCGCCAAAAAGCAAAAGCTTCGGGGAGATCAATTGACCCAAGTCGACACATTCCTCGGTGTTCGTCGTTTCATCGAAGTTATATGCCACCCACTGATTATTCTCAGGATGCTCCAACCGTGCGCGAGGGCAAGCTCTTCTGCCTTCTCCTGGCTATGCAGAATGAACTGGGCAATATTGTCACGGCCGCGCCACCATTTGCTGTCTCTGCGGAGCTCAAAGTCTGTTGCCACGGTTACACCGTCCAGTTTTTAACCGTTCTCTAGACAAACATTCAAAACTATGCTCACGCTGTGCTTCTCTCACCCAAACTCGCGAATTACCGCGGCGACCTCCCGGTCCAACATGTCATGGTACGTGTTCAATCTTGAGAGCGGCGGTATTCTAATTGTCGTGTCAACCAAGGCTATCCTCTGGAAGCACCGCTTCGATCTGCCACCCGGAATCGAGAACAACCCTGCTGAGCTCGCCAAAATTCAAACGGTAATCCAGGAAGCCTTTACTCAATGCCGTTCAACGATCAAGAAGAAGGTTCGTCGCTGTTTTCACATTTCTTGGCACTCCTGATATTCATCCAGTTATTCGCGAGTGTTCGGGTGTGGCGCACGAACGAGAAGGGCGAAAAAGTTGTTGTCGACTTGCCGGCTGATAAACACCAAAACCTGTTTGCTCTTGCGCAGGCTCTTGTCGACGGGACCAAGTGCCGGATCACCAATACCCTCTGCGGTCGGATTGCGCTCATGGTAAGTACATCTCTTCTAGTGTGATATCTTCTGACATGAATCACAGCGCGAGTGTTATATGGCCAACAGCAGCACCAGCTTCTGGACCGACGTTGACGCCGCGCTTGTCACCATGCGCGAGACGACCGGCGGCAACGATGAACTACGTGATGAGTAAGTTTAGCTCACACAATATGCTTCTGACGATCCTAACCCGCCGCCTTAGCTTGTTCGAAGACCTGATCGCCGAGGACAAGGAACAGCACGGCGCGGTCGATATCATCTATCAAACCACCAACGACGTCCAGCAGGAGGTCGATGATCTCATCGATGCCACCACCGCCGACACCGCAAGCACCCCGGCAGTTTCGATGCCAGGACCGTCCAACAGCGCTGGCGACAGTGGATCTCCCCCTCCCCCCGAGGAACCAGCCGGAGAGTCCGAGCAGCCCGCATCCTTGACCGCTTAGTTTACTCTACAAATGTGTTGGACCTGCTTCCATTTATCAATGTACCTGTCAAACACGATATTTCCACCTCATTTTGAGCCAATTCGGTGCCCTCAAATCGACTGCTCGAAATCATGGGAAATGAATATTAAATTGGCACAATTCTATGTACCCCTGCACACCCAGTGGGGGTACCACTGCATCCCCAAGCCAGCATGCAAAACAGCTTGCCGTATTCGATTGAGCCACAGCATGGCAAGCCGTTGTCGAAAGCCACATACACCTGGCTTGATCGCTAATCAGTAGCCATTGTTCGAGCTGATCGACAGGATGCTGAAATGCTGGACAATGGGTGGAGGTGGCCCATTGTGGGACCATACAATATGAAGTCTGGTGGCCACCTACCCAGCAGCCCGTATCCAGCTTGACCATCCATGTGTTCAAGGTGTGATTTTCAGCCGGCTGCAACCTGGGGAAATTTTGTCGGTGTACCAATCCCATCGGAACTCATAAATTGTAGGCAAGGGCACACCATGTGCTATCGGGTGTTCATACACCTGTTTGTTGGTTGGTAAGGTGATACTTGACTTGACTTCATCAAAAGAGAACAATTGGTGTTGAAAGAAAGAGAGAGAAAAGTTGAAACATCGGAAGGGTTGCCTAAGTATACCGTTGAAGGCTTGATACCTGATTTCACCCTGGAATAAATCCTCCTGATTCAGAAAAAAAACGATGAACCACAGGCGTATCACCCGACCCCGAATCGAACGAGGGACTCTTGCATAATAGGCTTGAATGGACGTCGCACAGCGAGCAAGCGCACACCATGTGCTATCGGGTGTTTTCATACCTGCTCCTCTGTCGGTAAGGTGCTATTCGATTCGACTTTATTCTGAGCCGACAGCTGGTGTTGGAAGTTGGAAAGAAAGAGCAAAACAAAATGATTGACACATTTGATGGCCAGGCTTTGGGCAAGGATGCGTTTCAGGCCAAGATCCTCCTGACTTGGAAAAAAATAAATGCAAATATACACAATCACCATCACCCGACCCCGAATCGAACGAGGGACTTTTGCATACCCAATTCCGAGGGAAATCAGCAATTGTAAGCAAGGGCACACCATGTGCCATCGGGTGTTCATACACCTCTTTCTTTGTTGTTGGTATAGCAATGCTTAATTCGACTTTGTTCTGGTGGATAGTTGGTGTGGGATAAAAAGAAAGAGTTGACACATTGACTGCCCCGGGTTTCTCTAAGCACACTGTCAAAGGTGGATGGACTGGTTCAATCTATCTTGAATCTTTGACTTCAATGGTAAAATAAAAACCTGTTGACTTTGAAAAAAAAGAAGAAGAAAAAAGTCGATGTCCGACATGCCAAGCACCCGACCCCGAATCGAACGAGGACCTCTTGCATAACACCATGCTCAAAACTTCATTACAAGTAGACAGTGCACACCATGTGCTACCGGGTGTTCCTACACCTGTTCCTTTGTTGGGAATGTGATGCTCGATTTGACTTACCTTCATTCTGAATGAACAATCAGCCTCGCTTGCAAGAGAAAGGGGTTGACACATTGGCTGGCCAGGCTTCGCCCAAGTGTACCGTTGAAAGTGGATGGACTGGTTCAGTCTCAATTCCAATCTAAATAAAACTTCTCTTGGTTCAGAAAAAAGGATGAACTCCAGGCTTATCACCCGAGCCCGAATCGAACGGGGGACTCTCGCATAACGATTCTTGTACGAAGCGTAATACGGTTTGCAAGGACACACCATGTGCTATCGGGTGTCATGCACCTATTCTTTTGTTGGTAAGGTGATGCTTGGCTTGACTTTGTTCGCAGTGGATAGTTGGTATTGAAGCAAAAAAGAGTTGGTACATTATTGACTGCCCCGGGTTCCTCCAAGCTGGCTGTCAAAGTGCATGTACTCGTTCGGTCGCATGGTCAATTTCAACCTAAATAAAAATCCTCCTGACTCAGCAGAAAATTTGACGTTAGCCACGGAATCACCCGACCCCGAATCGAACGAGGACCTCCTGCATAACAATTCTTTATCAAAATAAGTAATTGTAAGCAAGGGCACACCATGATTCTTTTGTTGGTAAGGTGATGCTCTACTCGACTTGATCAATTCATTCTGAGTGAACAATCAGTGTTGGAACATTATGATTTGGTGGGAGAAACTGACTGGGCTTTGTTCGAGTGTACCGTCAACGGTCAGGGGACTGATTCCATCTACACTTCACACTATGGCTTGAATAACAGTCCCGTTCACTCAGGCAAAAAGAAGATACATGACACCAGGTATATCACCCGACCTCGAATCGAACAAGGACCTCTCGCATACCCAGTCTTGGGGTAGAAAAGCCATAACAGCGAGCAAGTGCACACCATGTGCTATCAGGTGTTTTCATCCCTGTTCCTGTGTGGTTCAACTTGACTTCATTCTGACTGGATAGATGGTGTTGGAAGTTGAAACATTATTTTTGTTTTGAGACACTAAATGGGCTTTGTTCAAGTGCAAATGTCATTGAAGGTGTCGACTTCAGCTTCAAACAAAATCCTGTTGAAAAAAAAAAAAGGCCTTTATACACCGTACGAATCACCCGACCCCAAATCTAACGAGGGACTCTTGCATATGAAACTTGCTACAAAGCGCATTACAGGCAGCAAGGGCATACCATGTGCTATCGGGTGTTCACATCCCTGTTCCGTGGTTGGTAAGGTGATACTCCAGTCCACTGGAATAAAATCCGTTAACCCAGGCAAAAGCTTGACAAATACACATCACCCGACCTCGAATCGAACGAGGACCTCCTGCCTTCCCAATCTTACATACACACTCGCAAACAGTGAGCAAGTGCACACCATGTGCTATCGGGTGGTTGGTTTGCAGCGCCTACTTCGGATGAGATTTCCAGTGTTAGGGTGTGTTGTTGGCATATGCACTGGCAGGTCTGGTGGAGAAGGTTGAGCCTGGAGGAGGAGTCTGGAGGAGTGGGAGATTAGATTGGAGGGGGAGTGGATTGCAGGAAGGAGTAAGAAGAGTTCTTGGATTCTATGCCAATGACTTGAAGCCCAGGAAGGTGTGGGTAGAATCGAAGAGAAGGCGAAGGCGAAGAGCAGGCTGAGGCAAGTTTGAAGGTTGAAGGTTGAAGGCAAGGTAAGTTGAAGGCGATCTATCCGCGTCATCCGATTGCGGTTCTGGAAGTCAGGAAGCGGAAGCGGGAGGGCAGACCGAGGGGGGAGTAAAGTAAATTGAATTCAGATTTGGTACGTCCGCGGGCTGGGTGGGGGGCGCTTGGATGATCCACGGCTTGCTTGTGGTGGGCGTTCGCGGGATCCCAGGGGTTTAATTGCGCGACCACTGCGTGCGGAGTCGACAAATTGGAATTGAAATGTTGCTGAAGGACTCCGGGATCGTCGGATGTTTATGAAGACGGGGGTATTGGGTAAGGACGGCAAGAAATTGATTGACCCGCATATATATTCACCGGCACTTGCAGCGGCCGTTCGTAACGTTACTGCCGTTTGCATAAGTCCGTGAAAACATGTTTTTTTTTTTTTTTTTGGCTCACGTGCTTTGAGCCGAGATGCCCGGGCTTTTAAAATCCTTCATTTTCAGTTCCTCCCGCAACTAGAGTCCCCTCAGAGGTTATCTGGATGGAATATAGTACCTCGACGTTGCTTCGGGACTATTTTCTGTCCAGCATGTAATGTGCAGCTGTTGAGTAAGCCCGCCTCGGTATCTCTCTGCAGTTATACTTTTCTCCAGACATGAACATTTCATTCCTGTAGAGTTTGAACTGCACACAAACTTTTACCATGCCGCCCCTGATGTGATTTACTCTCGGGTTGTGCATGCCGCTGTCAGCATCAAGGGTGTACATAGGACAAGCCTTTCAAAATGTTGTGGACGTGGCCGCAAAAGTAGTGTTGTCATATGTCCTCTAGTATCCATTTGTAAATTGTGTCCAGTAAAAGCTTCAGTGCATACCGGCAGATTCGGCATCTGGTGTACACTCGGCATGGCCCGGCATCGGTGGTAAACCACCCAACACCTGCCCACCTGCCTGGGCCAGAACACCAACAGACATGGTTGCTGTATATTAATTCCATAAATACCTTGTGGCCGGCAGGCATTAGGGAAGAAGGAGATCAATGATTTTTAGATCAGCCGCATTCGGCAAATCCCACCATCTATGATCACTGTGCGCCGGACATTTGAAAATGTTGTTTGGGCAGTCAAGGTATAAGGGACTTCAGAAGCACTACAAATGAAGGATTTCAAAGCCCCGGGCATCTCGGCCCAAAGCATGTGAGCAAAAATAAAAAAAGTGTTTTCACGGACTTACATCAGCAAAAGCACAAATCACGCGCGAACTTTTGATCTTGTGATGTCGCGTATCTCGCGTCCACGAGTATACGCGAGCACAAGCAAAGCTTGAGATTTTTGTGTACATTCTGTACTGGGTGTATCCTCACACTCAGCCCATTTGTGAGTGCCATCATACTGGCCTTTGTCCACTCAATAATTTCGACGACTTCAACTGTCCGGATTGGCCGGCATTTCAATCAGAATTGAGCTCGCGTCGCTCGCGTAGGCTCGCGTATGGGGCTCGCGTGGGATCTAGGACATAGCTCGTGATTGCGCGTGCACGTGGACTTTGACGTCTTGTACGCGCTCGTGCGCGCGCGTACGAGAGCCCACGCGAACTCACGCGCAAAGTGTGAAAATCCCGATGCAGGCTCCGCTGCTCGATGACCCAGTGATCTGCCCGATTCTGAACGAGGTCGCGTCGAGCCCCGACACTGCCAAGATCTGGAAACCAATGAGTACAGGATTTGACGGTGTAAGCAGCCTAGACTCCTTACCCGCTCCGTGACATATTTGCTCTCGCTGTAACCACTTCCAATAGCTGCATCAGCAGTAGGCTGCAGCTCCTCAAGGAATGGTCCGCGTGTTGCATCCCAGCCCAGGCCCGTGCCAACTGAAGAGGTGAACATAAATCTGCCAGGGGGGCGGGAGTCAGTGACTCCCGCCCCCTGGCGCGCCAAATCGATGAGGTTTCGTGTCCCCTTCACATGCGGCTCGAACGAGGACAACATTTTATTAAAGTCCAGCATCCATGCGTTGTGAATTACGAGCGTAATCGTATCGCGAACCTGTGATTACGAAGGCAACATCAGCACCACCCCACGAGAAGAGAATTGAGAAATACGTACCTCGGTCCAAACGTCAAGCGGGAGCCCCAAGGTTGGACTAGCGGCGTCACCCTCGAGGTACACAAGCTTGTCGGACGACAGTATTTCGGCATCCAAACCGCGATCGAGGAAGGCCGCCTTCTGCCGCTCGGCGAGAGGAGATTTGCCCCTTCTGTTGAAGGCGTAGACACGTCGAACGGAGGCAAGATTGAGTAGAATTTGGAGGAGGTGCGTCCCGAGGCCTCCAGTTGAGCCTGTGAGGAGGACAATCGTCCCAGGAGACGCCTTTGGATTCGTCTCTCTATCCTCCACGCCCGCATTAAGTCCTTCGCTGTACTTGGTGATCATCTCCTCGATGATGGTGTTCTTTCCTCCGTCCTTGATACCGTTTGCATCGCCATTGACCAACGCCGCGATCGCTTTCGCGAGCTCCTCGACAGACGGGTGGTCGTACACAAAATTTTGTGTAATACCGTTTGCTGCCCTCTTCGCCTTTTCGTCGGGGGAGTTGTGCAGACCACCCACGATTCGGTGCCGCAGGAATGTCGCGTCCAGGCTATCGAACCCCTGCTCGAATAGATCCAAGGAGCCCATCAGCCATTTGACATTTTTGTTGTGGCGTTTCACGTGTTTTTTGGCGTTTCGGCGTTGTTCACCAAAATCAAGTCGGCCTTTGTAGGGTAGTGGGACAAGGACCATGGCCAATATGTTGTGTGGTGGTCCAGAGGGTAGTAGAGGTACTCAGAGAGGTCGAATGACCTCGCAATCAATCCGCGTTCCGGAGATATCTGATGATTTTGTTCCGGCGTTGTCAGATTTTCGCCGAAAATTGTCGCGTTGCCACGTTGTGACGGTTTCGCGGGGTAGGTAGGTAGGTAGGTAGGATTACACGGCCGGTCCCGCTCAGGGGAATTGTCGCGTTGTTCGGCA